TATATCTCTTGATCTTGACCTTTTTAGACCTTCTCTGTTACAGATCAAAGGTCATTGACCTTGGCTATCTGCTGATACTTTCATTTGTGAGGTCTGACGTCTACTTCCGGTATTAGAATCTTCTAAACTTTAGACCGTTCTTGCGCTTGATCTAATTATCGTGGAAGGATGATTTTTTCGGGGTCTTTTCCAATTTGCTACATTTGCAAAGTCCCACTCTGTGCCACGAGTGGCTCTAGTGTTGTTTTTGTTTTTAACAAAAGTGGGGGAACAAAACATTCCTTGGTATATAGGGTAGGGTACAACACTGATAGTTTTCCCAGGGTTTTATTTTTTTTAGATGTTGAATTACCATTTACATTTAATACATTTAGTTCATTTCACAAGTGGGCTTTGATAATTGACTAAAAAACCAATTATATGCACAATCTCAGAAGCTACTGGTTTGAGACTAAGTGGTATAGTCGTTCCGATTATCTTGAATTTTTTCATACGTTCAATTGCCCTTTCCACATGTATGCCTACCCATGCAATACGTTTTGTCAGTATTTCTTCTTGAGGGGTAAGACGGTCCCTGCCTGAGAGAAATGGAGGGATATTTAGCTCAACTTTCCTTGGGTTCAGTATGTCTCTTATCAGAAACCCTCTATCAGCTATGACCAAGTCCCCAGGATTGAGTAACTCGGCCAAACCTGACCTGATGGTAATTTCTTTGTCAGATATACATCCTTCATAAACATCTGACAAAAATGTTATTGCTCCTGTTGGTGCAATTCCTACTAAACATTTCAGGGTTGCATGATTCTGAATCCAGGTATTTATATAGGTTGAGACAGTACCTGTGCTGGTAGCAAATCTATGCGCAAGATCTTTATTTGGAAATCTGTGCCTCAGTTTCATTAGAACTAATAATAGCTGATTTTTGGGTGACAGTATGGTTTGTTGTTTTTTTTCTTTTCTTTTCCTCTTAGGTGATACAGTTTTTTTTCCTTTCCAGTATTTCAGTTCATCACATCCGGCACTTTCCAAGACTCTATAAAAATGATTGAAGTGCTCAACATTTAACCAGTATAGAATTTAAAAAGTTTGCCATTTGCGACCAAATGGTCATAGTCAAACTTTTTTCTTGTGTGTCCTTTTTTTGGACTGCTGCGCTGCAAAGCCTCAATTTTCCTTAGCCTTCTTTCAATTTTATTTGAGAGTGCATCACTGCAAAGGAAAGCTGTTTGTGTTCCAACTTCATGTATAGATGTAACCGTGTATATAACTGTCTTTGTGTCTTCTACAGGTACAGGTACCTATAAATATAATAATTACATTTTATTAATCATAGCAGAAAGCCAGAAATATGTACTCTTATACAATTTTTACAGACTATTAAAATGGTTTTAAACAATGCATTAAATTATCATTTTAACTAACTTACAGCTTTATTTGGTTCACACATGTTTTTATTCTTGGTTGGTGTGTTGTCATCAACAGTCCAGGTTTCAGGTAATGGTTGGTTTTGTAAGGATACCAAAGCTTCAGATACATCCAACAATATTTTTTTCGACACAGGGGCACTTCTTGGAGTAGGTGGTTTCCTCTTTCTCGAAAACTTATCAACCTGGAATACAAATTATGCATGTTGTGTACATTAAGGCCTACATGGCATGGCTAATAATTACGTAAAATCATCATACTTTCGAAACTCCATTTAAGCCATAATTATTAATACAGAACTTACATGTTTTTGGAATGTTTTATTAACCATGTACCTAACCTAGGCTACAACGTATTTGAAAAAAAAGACAACCTATTTGTGACAATAGCCCAATAGGGCCTAGGCCCCATAGGCCTACCAATATTTTGTGAAAGAGAATAAAAAGATAAAAAGGTGGCGCGTGAAGTTTTTACCTGTTTCGGCGTAAATGTTGCTGGAATAGGGTCGGGATGGCTATTAGTCGGTCCATTTTCTCCCACAAAATGCTTGCTGCAAATATATGTCCACCTTGTAACCTTTTCCACTGGGAAATCTTCTCGTCGACAAGCACGTAACCACCGAAGACATTTCTCGAGTTTTCGTTTTGGTTTTGGAAATGGAACCCAAAAAACTCCTTCCATATATTCACGATCTGAATATCTACTGTCACTATTGCATGTTCCATAACAGCAATGTCGTGTAGCGCCATGGGATTTTCGTTTTTCAGAATGCCTGTCTCCTTCCTCCATGCGGTTCTGTAGGCCATATAGGCCTAATAGCCTAGCATTGTTTGTACTACATTTGAAATCGAGTCTGAGAGCTAATTATAGACTGTCCTATTTTTAGTAACTTCTTTGTTTCTCGATCCTTGCTATATTACCTTGCCTGGCAAGCTACCTTTGTTAAAAGTGGCCAAAACGGAGCTGACTTCCATTCTGGCAAAACCAGTGTCCCATGAGCCCTGTCAGACTTCATCTTGTGTAAAACTTTAGCGATTAACTGGAAACCATATTTTTGAATTGAATCGTAAGCAATGAGCGTTATAATGTGTAGCAAATCTGTCAATATCGAATGGCCCCCATGTGGTATTTAACTGATGGAATATATCGTCTTTTATTGACCAATCGTCATGATCTACTACCCTGCTCAATTTGTCGGCCAGTTTGTTTTGTTGCCTGGGAATCCATCCGGGTGTAATCTCAACATTTTGTGCGATGCAAGTCTTTCTAACATCCATTGCCAATGTTTGCAGTTTAACTTTGCTACTACCCACTTTCAATATGTGTGGGACATTTTGATTGTCTGATAACAATTTTACCTGACTGTTTGTAAATGAATACTGAAAATTCAATAAAAAAAAACGCCTCAAACATTCGAGTTCACGCCATTTAGAATTCTGGACTGACTATATAAATACATAGCAGAGAAGCAGATTGTAAGTTGAATTTTCAATTTACTGATAACGTGTTTCTTTTTATTGATTTAAATTTAATCTTAGTAATAACTTAACATTTGTGGTTCCTAACGCCTAGTACTTTAATACCAGCACTTAGCAACTAGACAGCGCATTGTTTGTTACTAAGGTAAACATTTACTATCGATCTTTGTGAAGCAGATTGTAAGTTCAAATTTAAAATCACTTTTTATTGATTTAAATTTTTATCTTAGGAACAACTAAACATTTCTGGTTGCATACGCGGTTACGCCTAGTAATTTAAAACCAGTACTTAGCAGCCAGTGAGCACATTGTTTGTTACCAAGGTAGACATTTACTATTGTAATCTGTAATAATGATAAATCAATAGTGAGTTAAATTTCCAAGCTGTTATCATTCATTCAATCAATAGAACACATACATCTATAGAATCACTGTTTGTGCCACTAATTTCCAAAATGTTTCCTCTTTGGGATTATTATTTAATTCACCTTCAATTTTTTGAATCATTCCAAGCAATTTCGAAATTGGAAGTGATAAATTTTGAAATTTTGAGTTTGACAAGTCTTCGCAATATTGTAGTCCAACTCAATGAAATTGTTAAATTTTCTTTTACAAAACAGGTGAAATTCCCAAAATTTAATGAATAAGTTTTGCAACCAACGTCCAAATGTTACATACGATTTAATTGAAAGTGAATAATCATGTTTAAGGAATTTGTCACACTTTACGACTATTTCTTTCACAATTGCATTATATTCAACAGTATTGTCATTTTATTCCCGTATCAATGTTCAAATCACATAAAAAAAAGTTTCCAGTTTTTTTAACAAGTTGTCACAGGAGGGAAGTTTTTGTTCGAAAACAATATTTTTAGGTTTTTTGGAAAATTCTATGATATTGTCTTGTGGTAAACATTCCCTCTTAACAACTTTCGTTTAACTGTTTATAATGTCTAGCATCTATTTCCTCACAAATATCCATTTCTTCCATAATAATAAGTAGCAAAATGAAGAAATTGTAACTGTAATTTAAATATAAGGGTTTATTTTTAGAAATTGGATTGTGCAACCTCCAATCAATACACAGTGAACTTAAGTACATATTTATCATAAAATCAATATAACAGCGGTTGGTCTTAGGTGTCATTGGTAAGGAATGTGAAATATTTTATATCTAGACTGCAATTATAATATTGTAAATCTAAACGAGTTCCTGGGCCAGTGTAGTTATGGTTTTCGCCTGAATATTTAACACAGGGAAATCCAGGAAGTTTAGTTAGAGATTTTTAATGTCTCCTGAGCCAAAATATGTTTTGGAAGTGTGGATTATTATTAAAGACATTTTTAATGAATTGATAATAATAAAGTTGTGTTCGCCTGGTAGCGAAGTGGAGTAGTGCTTACAGATTTACAGCAACTACGGAGCCAAGTGCAGTGAAGCGAGCGAAATGGAGTAGTTGCTGTAAATCTGTAAGCACTATTACTACTTATATAGGACATAATGATACTATTTCCACAATTATAAATATAAATACAACACTTTAATGTCTTTGAAAGTCAATTATACTATATTCACTATTGTGGATTTTACTATATTTTCCTTAGTGATATACTATTAGGTGCATTGTCATTTCCATATTTCCCATAATTCTTGATTGTGGCTTTGGTTTCCGTCTAAATAAGTCCACTAATAGGTTTTAGTAACTCCCGCTCGCCCTACAGTGTCCCTAACACNGTTTTAACAATATTAAATATTATGACAAATAAAATAGCGAAGGAATAAACAAGCTCCGAGGAGATAAAATATCCAAAGTACCTGAGGATGTAATACAGGTGTGACAGTTCTAATTCGCCAATAGCTTTTTGCAATTTTGGATTATTTGGATTAAATTAAAATTTTAAAGTAAAATAAAAAGGTAATGTAAAATAGCAAGAATGGGCAGAACATCCCCGTTTTAGACGTATCTTGTTTGTTACTCTACGTAATGCAATATTATTTGATAAATTTAAAGACGGATCTAAACATATTAAATCCACGGCTGAACACGAACCATTTTTCATGAGTTAATGACTTTACTACTGTAGTGATTGGTTCTATAGACATTTGACAACTTTGTTTAATTTATGTCAAGTAAAAATAAGGAAGATTTGTTGACAAAATCGTTTTTCTAAATTAACAGTACGACAGAGCTGGTTGTATGCGAAAAACTAAACCACTGTCATTTAATTTAACATAGACATTTCGATCGGGAGATACAGCAAAATAATCAGTTTATCCCAAAAATGACAATGTTATTCAAGTCATCCAACTCGAACGATCGATGCTCACCGCATGTGAACGATCTTCCTATATTGTTCGACCGAGTGTGGCCAAATGTAGCCGTAGGTTAACGAAGGAAGCTACAGAAAACCGAAAGTAAAAAACTTGCTTATGATGCCATTTTCAAAGGAATGTTTTGGCCCCGACAGTACCGACCATTTTTTGGTCGATCGGCCGCATTTATGCGCAAAACAAGTCGGGAACCTGCGAGCATAGTAGAAGCACCCGACGCTCACCAGATCCTAAGACGACCGCCTCGCCCATTTCCGTTAGTTCTCGATCATCCCCGCAGGTAGCCGGCCTTCGTGATGACTTATGCCAAAATATTCTGCCGCTTCCTGTGACAACATACGCCACTCTCGACCACGGTGGAAGAACGGCACATATCGAAAGCTTTCTCTCTCGAGCCAGGGTCGTCAATATTCGGTCAACCGAACAACGCTCCAGATCTTCCCAAAATGTATAGGCTAGTGCTCCATAATGTTAGCAGGTTCACGACCTTTTTTGTAAAATTAAGGCCGATCGACCAAAAAATAGATCTGGTACTTTCGGGACCAAAACAATCCTTGGTGAAATGGGAGTATGGCGTATTCTAAAGGTTTTTCAACTCATAATGTCAACCCATTATACCAAAATTAACAATTAGTACTCCCACTCACTGGTTTTAATTAACCCTTTTAAAACAAATACATAGATATAAATAGCATAATTTAGAAATATTTTCAGGTGAAATTCACAAAGCTTTTGAAAATGAAATTTTTGCATATTGCCTCTTTAAACTAGGAATTGAACGATCTTAATACTACCTTTTAGAATAAACATAAAATTTCGATTTTTTTGAAATTTTTAGAGTATATATTCATCTTTTTACTTATCCATAATATAACCGAATCTAAAAATCCGATGGAAAGCTACAATGTAAGATTTGAACGACATATAGAACCGAGGAGCACATATAACAAAACACAAGACAATATTATGGAATATAACA